CCCGGGCGGCCCCGCCTGTCCCCTGCTTCCCTTCCCCGCTGCCTGTAATTAAGTCCTGCTAACGAGGCAGGAGGTGCCCTGGCCCCCGATGGGGTCCCGGGGGGCTCCGGGGGGGCTCTGGTGAGGGGAGCAGCCCGGGGACGCCATGTTTTCCCCCCGGGTCGCGCACCCGCGGGGCCTGGTGCAAAGCCGTGCGTCTTCCGCGTGGATGGCGGAGGTCCGCAGACCATCTCCCCCGGCCTTGTGGACGAGGTGCTCCTCCGAGGCGTCGCCAAGAAGCGGATCCTGAGCTCCGGCCATGGGGCAGCTCTCCCTCCTCTCCATCTAGCGCTGACCAAAACCAGCAGCCAAAACGCCGGGCCGCCGTATGGGGCGGTGGAGGCAGGGATTTGAAGGAGCGAGGCTCCACAGAGGATTTCCATGGGAGATCCATCACCGGGCAGGGAGAGGCCCCAGCCTGGGCGGGAGGGAGGGCGAGCCTGCAGCAGGGCGGGGGGCGGCCGGGGCGTCCCGAGGCGAGGAGGGGTCGCGGGTGGGACCGGGCAGAGCACGGCCGCCTGCCAGAGCGATGGAAATCGGCCCAAGGTTAGCCTGGCCAGTGGAGGTAAGCGAGTGGAGAAGGGAGGCAAAAGGGCTAGGACAGGGGAAGAAAAAGGAAGGAAAGCAGGGCTGGCTACACGTGTTTCTTTCTTCGTCAAGGGAAGCCTCGTGTTCGTGCCAGAAACGAGGCGGTGCAAGGAGAGGCACCAAAGGAAGCGTGGCAGACAGCGTCAAGGTGAATAGACGATGTCTTTATGCACCAACATCCTCAAAGTGAAAACGTTTCAGTGGAAAATATTTTGATTTTAAAACCAGCAGCTACAGTTTCTGGTTTGCTGTGCGCTGTTAACCCAGCGTCCTCAGCTGACAGTACGTTCTGGTAATGCATCAGCATGAAAATGACCAACATAGACGCAGGTGTTTGATATGGATTAGTGAGCTATGAAAAGGCATGTCTTAGCCACACAGAGCATTTAAACTTGATTTACAAGGTAGAAAAGGAATATTTTCTCCATTCCCCAAACTGACATTTCCTCTGCGTAGTATTGCAAGGCGCTTTAAAGGCACATTATAAATACCATTAGAATTTTGTGGTTGAGCTGGGTATTGGGAGTAGTTTTTGAAACACGGTGTTATTATTTTTCATCTCTCTCTTCACCAGTATTGCAAACCAAAAAACACAGGGAGATGTTTTGTGGCGATTACAGGTTCTGCTCCCACTGAAGTCAGCAGCGTTGGGTTGCTGTAACACGGCAGATTGCTGATGTGATGACTTGCTTGGGGCGGGGGGACAGAGTTTGCTGGAATGATTCCTACGCTGTGTTATTCATTAGTGGCAAAGCCCTAATCAAATTTTGTGGCGTACCTTGCGTTATTCCCACTAAGTGCCAGTAAATCAGTACGTATCACATACGCTGCAGAAAAGCTATTTCAGGAATGTCTTAGGTGTCGTCTTCTTCCATTTTGTTTGTCTCCTTCTGCCAGAAAAGATGCGTT